GAATGCTCCAATTTTAGACATATTCCATTTTATTATTATCAACACAAGGCAGCAGACTGAACTGCGACGTACGCAAAGTGCGAACTTACTGCCAAGCTTGAAATCCTTGCTCTGCACTTGTGTTGTATGACGCTCACGTGTCGCAAGTGGACACGTTTACCGTTGTCACTCGGCGAAAACGTTCTCACGTCCCTGTCAACGTCGATAAGGAAGAGAAAAAACGTTCGCTTCCTTTTTTTCATTTCAATGACATGTCCAATAATTTACTGATTCGACCGTATAGATCGATGTCCGAGAATTGATTATATTTCATGAAAATGTTGGATATTACTCACTTGTTATGTTATGCAGTAACACTTTAATATCGCTTACCCCGTTATTTTTTATTTACTACTCGTGATTCTCGTGAACATATATTCGGCCGAATATTTTCTCGCGCGTTGGACGAACTAGAAAATGTGCTCTTAAGTGATGGGGGATATCCGCCGAAGTGAGGTCTGCTAATGGGTTAACGTTGTTAAGGTTGTATTTTGTCAACCCCTCTCTCACACATCGATAAAAAAATACTAATCATCGTCTCCAAGGCCGCGATCCATCTTGTCTTTCGTAAGTGACTTCTCGAAAGTAGGTCGAAGCGTCGTGAATTTACTCAGCAACTTCCCCTTGTCTGAAATCCTGACGCATATCTGTATCAATGTACACAAACGTACGTGCGCACGCATATACAGTGTGTTCGGGAAAGACAATACCATAATATCGTGTCAGCGTATTTAACGTGCGATCTGAATTTTGCTGAAAAATGTTGTATAAGCGTAAATGAATCTGAATCTCAACAATTATATATAGTATGATATTGCTTGATTCAATTCTCATCTCAAAGTTCAGTTCTGAAAAAATAATTGTATTCCGAGTCATCCTCTACGTATCGTAAGTATATTTGTGCACATTGATCGAATCCGTTGAATTTACTTCCTCATAAAAAAGCTTATTTGTAAAAAGAAGAATCGAGTCTTCCAAATCGAATCTCACACGATTCTACGACAATATAACATCTGTCGTGCTAAATTATTCTCCTCTACGCTCTCCACATAACGAAGAAATTATATCTACAGTCACACACATATTTGTATATAATAGAAAAGGGAAGAGAATATCATTAATCCTTTATTCGCTTATATTTTTTTTATATTTTTATCTTTATAACGTATATACGCTTGTACAGGATTACATCAGAATGTCAAGTGACAAGTTAAAAGAGGGTTAATCCGGAATTTACGTTTCTTCGTCGAAGCACGGCATTGAGCGATCTACAAGTCTCTCGAATGCTTTATAGCCCAGTGCACCCGATCGTTCAGCCTACCACGTTGTACTGCTTGTCTTTCGGCAACAAAGAGATTTTCCCTGTAATCTGACCGGTCGAACTGCGACGAAGCTGAGGTTCTCGCCGAACATTTCCATTGCGCTCTCGCGTCTCTTATTCGAAAACCAATAAATAGATTCGTTTCTTTACGAAGAAATCGTCGCGCCTCGCAGGGGAGAAATTGAGAAGTCAACATTTCAATTATATAACAACAGGCGGACAAATCTGCAAACAGATACCGCCGGCCGGAATAAATATCGTCTAGAATGTTGACAAACACGTATGATAATTGAAAATTGTCCAGGAAACAACACCTATGCTGTTTGTAATTTAGCAACTGTAATATTTAAAATCACAGACAATTCGGAAATCATTTTGATGTAACGACAATAATTTTAGATAAAATTCCTCGAATCTCGACGAAAATCGCTATCCGACGATTAAGAGGGAAATATCTCGTGGCGTGTGAGCTCAATAGAATCCTCCGTGGAGCAATGGATGCGAGCGTAGAAGCGAGTAATTAAATTGACCGTAATACCATAGGCTATCCGTAGTCAATCCGTCAATTTCGCGGGAGAATTTTTCGCGTATATCGATGCGATATACGTGCGATGTATATGTGCGCGCGCATGTCATTTCAAACGATTGATCACAATTGACGAATGATCGGCGGAAGCACCGATTGTACCAAAACTTCCTTCATCGTCAAAATCATTTTTTCGCACTATTCACGCATGTAATTTCAGCAAAAGGATTCGTTTACTTTACGACGCGTGTTCTCGCCAAAATGCACGATTACATGTCAAGCATATACTTCATAACGAAACAATCGTAGTGGGTGGCAGGTTTAATTTGCGTACGCCTAGTATTTTGATTTTAAGATCGACAACCTTGCGAGTTCTTTGTCTTCGAATTTGCAACAGTGCACAACAATGCGAGTTCGATAAATCAGCCACTGGTTATATCTATCATTCGCGATGATTTCAATGCGAAATATTACGAACGAATGAATGGAGCTTGCTTTTACGATGTTTGAGATGTAGTTAAGTGAAAATTGATAGCAGGAGCACAAGCAAGGATAACGCAACAAATTATCGATCCATTAGTAACGATCGTAAGTGCTACGGCTAAAAATTTAACACTCGCAGTCATTATATATATAAGTGTGCATCTCGGTATTTTTTCTTTTTCTTCTGATTTGTTTGCTAAACACACACACGCACACACACGCTTCTAGTGATCACGGTCTTATCGATATAACCGTCATGCAGACATCACGAGTCATCAGCTCGCCGATTAATAAATAAGGCAAGATAGATAAGTATTTTCCATTGGCATTGTTGAACATTTTTTTTTGAGGAATGAAACCGATCGAAAAGTTTGTCGGCGATGATGAAAGTGCACTCCGACGAAGCTGTTGCGAGCAATTTGTCAGCGAAACATTCAGCGTGAAACACAAGCAGGATGATTACTCATAGTTCTCGCGAGGCGACACGGCTGCTGCATCTAAGCAGTAGAAACACGCAAAAATAATTTCTTCCGCTGCATTAATCGTTCGCGTACCATTGGAAAAGGAATTTTTTCTACGATCCTCATTCATTAGACGGCCCGTGTAATTTTATGCTACTACGTCCAAGAGACATCGCAATGTAACTCGGCAGCTCGCGTGAAATTGAATTCACTTTAATTTTCTCCTCTTTTCTTACGTCGAGCCTTCCGAATATTCCGAATACCTGACACTTTCTTTCCTTTCTTTCTTTCAACAAGATAGACAAATGTTCCAAGATCAAGACTGATGTGCTAACCGTGAGAAGATTAGTTATCGCACAATTATCTTATCGCTAATTGTGCTGCACGAGTTGACAGAACATTCTACCGAGATAAATTCTTCGGTTTATCAGATTGAAATTATCGTGACTGTTCCAATTCTCCTCCGAGAGATTAAAATAGCCAATCGATTGGTCGAGACTATTGGTTCAGATTTCATTTTCGCCTCTGCAAAATTATGATCTCGCTCGACTTTGTTCGATTCTGCGTAAAAGAAAAGGACATGCGCCACTTTGCCGTTAATCGAGGAACGATCGGGAAAAAACGACAACGAGGAGCATTTTAATGCAGTTTGAGAGTATAATTCGATTTACGGACTCTTAAGGAGCCTATTTCTGATAAAACTAGGAGGAAAGAACACTATTGAAATTAACAATCTGTAGTCAACAATCAGTCACTGATCCATTATTTTAAGAAATAAAAGGCGTTACATTTCAGATTGTGATTAAAATCCTCTTTATCAAAACGATGTGTATGCGATGTGTATTCTCATATTCCGAGATTCACCATTTCTTCGCACGACTAATTCGGCACGACCATTTCAGCAAATTACATTTTCACAGAGCTCAGCATTGGTTAGAGAACGTAACTACTTAGCGTGTCAACGTAATTGGAGTTTCTTTCACTTCATGGTGTGATACACGTCTCGTGTGCATTTCTATCGATTCGATATCGTCGCAAGATATTGTGCCACCATGCGACTGCAAACAAAAACTGGCTGCAGTATGTCCTCGCGCAGAGTGCGCGTCTTTCTACAGAAGAAGTGTAAAAAAATTTAATAACACGGAGTCTAATAAAAAAAAAGGGGAGGAGGGGGATTATCCTCTATTGTGATGTGGAAATAATTGTTTTTCACGATTATCTTGCTTTAACGCGTACATTATATCGTTCTTATTTCATTTTTATTTCGTATATTTTTTACGTTTTCTTCGACGAATAGAATAAAAATGTTATAAGAATTCTAGACATACTGACATATTCTCTTTATAGAGTCCTTCTGAAGCATTTATGACACTTGAGATCGTAAAATGCGTAAAACAATATATAAAGACAACCGACTCGTTACGTGCTAGCTTGAGATACGTAAAACATTTAAATACCGACATCTCGTATAATTCCAATTAGGTGAAAATCTAATAAAGACCAGACGGCGAAATAATTAGGTCGCTGGTAGACGAAGAAGCACGTAGTAGGACTCTTTGGTATCTCGTCGACAACGTAAATATTTCAAATTTTGGCCGCTGCAACATCTCCATCTGGGGAGCTTTCGAAATTCTCAGCCGCTGAATAGTCGATATCAATCACACGACATTTTTAACGTAAAAAACTCTCGTTGGTTTTCACCAACGTCAAAGCCGTCAAGGCGAAAGAGGGTTTGGTGCGGAATTCCACTCGAAATGTTTAAATCGACAATTTTTGCCTCTACAAGACGATCCTACCCGCACAATCCGATTCGCTCTACTATTCCGTTTCGCATTGACGAAAGTAGCGCGTTTTCATTGCTCTCTGCTCTTTTTCCAAGAGTTATTCCCTTTTCGTTTCTTTAAAAGTCTCATTTCTTACCCGTGACGGAGTGAATGATTTCGAATTAAAGGGATTCAGCAAGTGTCGCGCTTGTTGTCCCCACATTATCTTCTTAGTAACACTCAAATGCACTCTATCGCTTTCCCCTAACGAGCTCGGTACACACATTCAGTCGTAAATATTGATGGAAAAACCAACGGAAAGTGTTGAAACTTCTATCCTGAAAGGAAGGAGTTCGTTCCCAGCCCTCGGATAGGCTCGTCAATCACGGCGAAACGCGATTTTGCAGAGAAGCTGAAAGCTCGTCGTCCCGCGTTGGACCGCGGGAGAATCGTTGTCGCTGCTCAACTCGTCCGGCGGAATCGAGCGAGGATTCTCATGCACGCCGTGAACTTGCGAGGCATCCCGCGGTCGAGAGGAGAGAAGGAGCATGACGTAGTCGTCGGCGAGGGGGGCCCTTGGGATGCTCCAGACTTCCGGCTAGGGTCGTCATATGGAGGGGCAGGACGTAACCACCGCGGACGGCAATCTGTTACCAAACTTCACGAGTTCCATCGCCGCCAGCCGCGGTACCGACGATTTCTTTCAGGGCTTTCCCGGCAAGAACTCGCCCTACACCACTGCTCAGGTGAGCCGCGTTGCCGAATGATTCGCGCGAAAGATATCACACGTCTGTCGAACAAAAGCGGAATTCTTCTTCTTTCTGTTACACCACCCTTTTAGCGCGACTTTAATAACGATTCAATCATGCGCTTTGGCTAACGGAAGAAGTTTTTTCCTGTCTAAATCAATATTTACGCAAAAAGCCATCTATCAACCACGAGTTCGGTGATTGAAAATGCGTGGAAACAACAACGTTTGCAAACGAAAATATATGTACAACGCAGTAAACACGGTGCGCCGAATATTTTCCATTTTAATCGTGTTACGTGTCGCGGAATAAAATTAATTGTCGCACGGACGCACGGACTTATTTATTCCCTCATTTAGCGTCCGCGCGCCGCGATAATCGATAATCTACGGGAAGAATAACCAGCAGATAGTTACAGCGAAATGCGCGATATTTCGACGATCAAAGATATTATTGAAAAGTGCTTGTCATATGCAATATTCACGCTAGATATTTCAGAAAATCTTGTAAAAAGGATAGTTTGAAACACACTCTGTGTTATAAAGTTCGCCGAATTAATCCCGTTTAAACATTTTATGCCGAATGCTGTCTCGATTTTCACATAGATCGAATTACCACAACGTAACGCTGAAACATCACAAACGATAAAACAGGTTGACACATGTTTTCTTCTTTAATAGATGATCCCTCTTTCTATTAACACGTGATATTTAATAACGTAGTATTGACCCCAACTGCAGAATTTATTACCTTTGCAAAATTGATTTACCGCATTGCACTTAGACCGTCACCTCTGATGTATGTTTTGAAAGTTTTCCTTGCATACTTTACGCTCTCAAGTTTCTAGTGAAAAATAGCGAGAAAACAGGATAGTTTAACAGGAGCGTTCACGTGTTCAGGCAATACTCATCGCCTTGGTGCTCGGCATCATCATCGTCGGCACTGTGATCGGGAATATCTTGGTGTGCGTCGCGGTATTCCTCGTTAGAAAGCTACGTAAACCTTGCAACTATCTGCTGGTCAGCCTGGCGGTCAGTGATCTTTGCGTAGCCCTTCTGGTGATGCCGATGGCGTTGCTATACGAGATATCAGGCAACTGGTCCTTCGGCTGGATCATGTGTGACCTCTGGGTCAGCTTCGATGTGCTCAGTTGCACCGCCAGTATCCTCAATCTCTGCATGATATCCGTGGACAGGTGAGTACGTATTGCGCTAGTTAATTAACGATACCTCCGATATTCGATTCGGCCAGTCACGCAAATCACATCAAGCGCTGCTGATTGTATCGTAGTAGCGATGTGGTATATAATATATAAATATTCTCCGCTAACTTATACATGCGAATGTATTGTTTCTCCAATCCGCCGCATAAAAATAATACAGTGCAACATAATAACGTGATCGCACACACGCGTTGATGACTTCACAATCAGCGACGCTTTAGCCTCTCGATAATTATAATATAGATAGGTGTGAGAACAAAGACGTGCATAATGAAAAATTCGACGAGAAGAGAGATGTATCACAGCTTTCTCACATTTTTTTTTTTTACAAAAGTTGGGGAGATATCCAGGAATTGCAATCAGACGTATTTGCATGCGAGTGTATGTAAATATCGGACAGACAGGCACAGTCGATCGAATAATCCGTTCGTAGCCATTCGCTCGATCTCATTCCGTCCTATTTGCAGCGGAAACGCTCTTCAAATATGCGGTCTTCAAGCGGTCCCGTTACTCAGCGTGCGCAACACACTCGGTATTTTTGCACCGCCATATTTTATTAACGTTTTATTTCGCGAACAGTTTATGAGTTCATGATTGAAATAGTTGCGGGTGGTAGCGCCGTCGCATTGTTTCGAATATCGCGGCGATGTTTCTCGCCGTTTCAGCTCACACTCGTTCGGTTAATTGCGCGAGCATAGAAACCGCCTTTCCGTCGTACACAAAGCTCACACACTTCGGAAAGGTCGCTTTTATCCACCGGCCGAACATCGTTCACGAGTGTTGTAAAAAATAACTTGCTCGGCAAATCACACGCTCGATGAATAATCAACAGTCATGATGTTCGAACATATGTATGCGTTTGATTAGAAAATTTCCATGTCATTAGGGACTGCGGTAATGAAGTCTTTTATTATCGACTAGTAATTTCTTGTTTTTTCTCATTCCCTATTCAAACTACATTCACTTCTCTATAATACTTCTCATATTTTATACAACAATTTTCCTATATTTGATTAATACTCGCGATGGTAATAAAGTTATATATGAAAGGTACTGGGCGATTACGAAGCCGCTGAAATACGGGGTGAAAAGGACGCCACGCCGGATGATCGTCTATGTCAGTCTTGTTTGGCTGGGGGCAGCCTGCATCAGCCTACCGCCCTTGCTGATAATGGGAAACGAGCACTCGTACTCCGAGAACACCGGCGCTTCGCATTGCGTAGTTTGCCAAAACTTTTTCTATCAGATCTACGCTACCCTCGGCAGCTTTTACTTACCGCTCATCGTCATGATTCAGGTCAGTGTAGATTAATCAATTCTCTTTTTTATTTATTTGAGACCTCTGAAAATTATGGAAAACTATCCGTTAACGAATATTATAGTAACGTGTTTAGAAAATAAAGATAAAGATTAAGTGGTCCAAATATATATGTTTGCTTGTAATACATCTCATTGCAATCTTGTATAGAGGAAAAGAGGTAGTATTTAGTTACAAACAGATTACCGCGTCGAGCGCAGCGTAAATATACGCGTAATTCGTGTCGAAGATGTTTGGCTAATGAGTAATTAAACAAAGTTAAACGAGCTTCCCGCTCGCAGATTGACAGATAAACAGCAATTATACCTCTTTCTCTATTTATCCACCTTCTTCCGTCTGTCTATCTATCAATCGGTCTATCTTGCCGGAAAGTTAATTTTACGATTGAATATACCGTGATAAAAAGAGCAAAACTTGCGGCAGTAGGAGGGAGAAAGAAAAATTATCAACGTTCTTCGTGACCAAAAATGCTACTTATTTGGAAAACCATAGAGCGGACAAAATGATACAATATAATCTACGCGAAATAATCTGTGGAAAAACGATCCAGTAATTATAGTTAAGAGGTTGAACACGTTTGCTTACGAAATATTGAACGTGGATTAATAGAAAATCAATAGTGATGTACATGGGTTTTCATTAATTCACGCACGAGTACAACATAGTGTGTGTAAAGCGGTCGTACGTTATCGATTGCATGATTATCCGGAAAAATAAATTCGTCGCGCGTACAACATTTTAGAGACAATTGAAAGAGACGGTTATTATCCGGACAGACGAGTACTACCTCGGATTTGATACATTAAAGGAACTTGGCTCGGATAGCGTTTATAATTGTCATGTCCGAAATATCTCGCCGAAACACACCGCCTCTTTTCCCGTCGATGAAACTGCTTTAATATTTATCGCTATATAAGATATATTTTCTGGAAACGATTCCGGTATTTTAATAAATTGACATATAAAATTGATGGGTAAGTTTATTCAACAATGTTGCTCCAAGTAAACTTGTTCTCGCGCAAATATAAAGCGCAATTGTTAGCTACATTTAGAAATACTCCCGCAATTATCGGAAAATATTTCAACATGTAACGTTAATTACACGACGAAATTGTTTCTCCCAGTAATCCATCGAGCCGCTTATCGTCGTCGCTCGCTCGATGCGTCCCTTTATTTACATTATACGTCAGGCGGCTCTCTTTTGTGTCGCGCGACACGCTGTTGTTCGTTATTCGCGCTACGAAGTAGAAGCCGTGCATGAAATATGCAGCAGAATGTTCGTTCGAAATTGCCGCCGCACATTAGCACGCGAGAATGCTCGCGGTAGAATTTGAACCGTTTTATTCGCGAATTAAAATATACATTCATAAGCGTTGCATAACGATCGATGACTCGGAAAAAAAAGCACATCAGTGTAATGACGAAACGTTCCATCACAAGTAGCTCGCGATGATACAGCGACTAATTGAATTTAAGGCTCGTAAGTGAGACGACGTATCTCTCCAGAGGGAGAGAATGCTTATTTTAAGACACGGTTTTTGTTTCAAAAGTGTTAATCGCATCTTTGCAGGTGTACTGTAAAATATTCTGCGCTGCGCGCAGAATAGTCCTCGAGGAGATAAGAGCGCAGCTTCACCTGGAGGTGCACTGCCATCTTGATATGGAGCCGGCGACCGTCTCGCAACACCCAACACCCGCCGTCATGAGCCGTCAATTCAATTCCGACATACAGAGCAGTCCATCGGTGAAACAACACAGAAGTTCCAGCGCGTCCACTACGGTGAGCGTCCATGTCCTTTTCAACCACAGGGTATAACGCACCTACACCCCTTGGAAAAGAAACTCTGCTAAATAAATCCAATTTATCACGAAAATAAACGAAGATAAACATTCCGTTTCTCGATTAGCTTCTTATGGCCCAATATAAAGATTGTTCATATAAAAGAGTTGTACAGAGAGAATTTGTGAAATCAAGACCTTACTTTACGTAGGAAATGTTGCACACTGCTGAACTTTCAAAATTAACTGCCGAATCTTACAACAAAAGAAGTAGAACATTTTTCTTTCTCGTATAGGTGCGTTTACCACCAGGCTTTAGGGTAAAGCAGAACAAGCGGTAGACAAGTTAGATGGGAAATTTCAAGACTTACTTTGATTATTCGCTAATACGTCATCTCAGATCCACTTTTCCTTTATTATACCCGCCGATACAGCGTTCGACCTCAATATCGATATAATATTAATGTTCGCTAATATATTTTCACGTAGCTTGGAAAACTATGAAAAGGTCCAGTGAAAAAGTCGATTTACCACTTTCTCACGATCGAATGGTATTAGCGATGCCTCGATATTTCTCTGCATGTCGGTCCACAATCTCTCATCGTTCTCTCGCGTGAGAAGTGCCTTTTTCGATATAACACGGTTCGTTGATCGTACATCAACTGATCTTCGCGAAATTCTTTGAATTCCCGATCGACCTTGTCATCAAATCAATGCAATTATATTCCCAATGAAACTTAAAACGGACTTTGATGTCCGTTATCCGTGCCGTGGTTGCAACTTCGAGTCTCGCGAATTCTACAATTTGATAACGTAATAAAAGGAAGAAAAAGATAAAAAAAAGTTATGTGGATACCTCTTTTTTCGTTGTTCTCCATTTATTGTATATTCAAATAGCTCGACTATTTCAGTGGTACAATAATCGCGCGTATACATGAATAACGTCGACGTCTATATAAACGGCAACGATCGATGTTTATCCAACAGCAGCAACCAACCGACATTTTGCGCGTGACGTCAATTCGGATCGCGCGCGAACTGTCGGCGCCGATTGTTCGAGAGTCCGGTTATAGCTCTGGCTCAAACAATGGGGCGCTTTTTTGCGCAATATCGAATCTCCGCGTCGACGTGCCTTAAACACAAATTCCTCTCTCTCTCTCTCTCTCTCTCTTGACTGCTTGACTTACTGCGCAAATTTAACACTGTATTTATTCATTATCGCGAATTTGCGTGGCTAAATTTACGACAAAAGCGTAACGAAGACAGAAAATGTTTTTAAAAAAGTTTGCAAAAATTGCGACAATAAGCTATTTTGCAACGCGCAGAAACACCCAATCGCAAACATCACACAACGAGCACACTTTCAATTAAATGTTCGATGCTTTGCAAAGTCGAGCTTCTAATTAAAAGACATCTTCTTCGTAGTAACAGAGAAAAGCGTCAAAACTGTAACAATTTATTGTTCTAATTTCCAAAGTGACTATATTTTCATTCCATTACTTTTGTATTCTCACAAAGCAGCGATTAATTGTACCATTATGAATGCCAAGATGAATGCGATGTAAGTCTGTCTGCGCGGCACCATAGTGCATTTTACAGTCGAACCGTGCCGAATCGATGCCGCGGACCCACCCAAAAGATACTCTCTCTTCCCCGCTTGCTTGTCAAGTGAAACTCCAATATACACTAATAGATCAGCGTGGCGATTAAATAAAATGATAAGTCAATTGCCGCAACAAGATGCACAACTATAATATGAGATTTGTTTAGCAAGACCTCAAATATTAAAAAGATATGAAATTTACAAGATGGTTCAGTCACTTCTGGTGGAAGAGGAAGACTGCACGAGGAATACGAACGAAAGAAAGAGTTGCGTTCTGCATTCATGAAGAGAAATGGAGGTTCTTGGGTATCGCGAAAAGATATGAGAAATTCTCTGAGACTGCTATGACAATAACACCATATTCACGTAGAGTAATCGAGAGAAATAAGGGCGCACAATAACTCACAGAAGATCTTGTCGTTTCGATGTACTATTATTTAGAAGATTATAAACGTTCCTCCATCTCGCTCCACGATACCGAACTGCTATTGATTCGTTTCGCGGCGAAGAGAAAGTTAAATGGCGAAAGACGCCTGGGAGAAATTAATTGGATGGCAAACGAGTTTTGAAGCAATAATTTCATTTCGAACTATTATCAGCTGCCTCACTCAGATCGTTTGCACAAACTTAAAATTGCTACACATAACGATCTCTCTTCCCCGGAGGCAGATAATGCAATATCGTTACTCAGAACGATTCATTCCCGTAGAAGGTATCCCCAAAGTAGATATTCGGCAAGAATGAAAATTGAGATGAAATTTCCGTTCCGCAAGAAAAAAATAACACTCGTTTCGCTTTATGATGCGCTAAAATATATCGCAGAAAACGTCCGCTACAAACTTACTATGACATTAGCCGTCCATCGTAGAATTAATTTCTCACGCGGTATGCGCGCATGCATGTAACACAAGAACCGCCAGATAAATTGGCCACCCACCACGAAGTTAGTAATCGCGGGTCCGTAGCTTACCCCGAAATCAGGTTAAACCGTAAAGTCAATATTGTAGCTCGTAGTTGTGCGAGAACGCGCCGAGAGACACGATAGGTACGTACATCATTTATATCCGATCTCGATACCATCGATAATCAATGGACGAGATAATGAGGAGACCTTCGACTTCAATTTGTCCTGCGATTTATCAGCGAATACTCGGGCGGGATACTACGACCGGATCTAATATTTCCAAGTATCTAGAATGCGCGCTTTACAGTAGTAGTGAGCTTCACTAGTGCTTAAAATTTATTGCGTGCGAGGATGGCTTGATTTTCAAGTGACAGAGTGCGTTTCGCCAATATATGCACGTTCAGTGTTATCTGTCCACGTAGATCACAATATAATACGTGCCGTAACGTGAGATGATTTCTCAATCAGTGATTAGCGTTACGTTGTCAGTGTTAATGGTTGATTCCGATACGAGAATATTTGCATCGAGTCCGTTATTTCCTCATGTTTTTTTCTTCATTCCTGTAAGCTTTAAATGAGTCGTCATCTCATTTCAAAAGGATTTCATTTTAACAGCAGTATTTTCGATATCGCTTTTCGAAAGCTAATATTTTCCGAAATATTTAGGCAACAATAATTTTTTGGATAAACATCTTTAAGTACATATGTACAATCATTCTCTTTCCTTTTATCTTATTTCCACTCAATGAATACAATGAATGGTTCGATGATCTAAGGGAGCTGTCCGATAGGAAAGCGCTCCCGTTTCATGAGAATACAGATGCCTCGTTAATCGCATGCGTAAATACTTAAAAATGTATCTTTAACAACACTCACGGGAGTACCATGTTTGTCGTCGTTAACATTCCAGCTAGTACGAAAGTGCAATTTTCAATATTAATACGGCGCATAAGCAGTTGAGAATCGTACACCCGAGGTGTAAACATTAGGGAGAATTCTTCGTAGGAACCTAAGACCATTCGCCAAAATGTCGTAATTACAAAAGCGTTAAATCTGGAGCAAAAAAGACTAAGCTTTGGAGAACGAATTCGACAAATATTAATCCGCATCATCGTATTTTATTTCGGGAAAATTATATTTTGTTTTGAAAGAATTTTAATACATTGATCTCTCTCTTTTCATACTTTCCAATAACATTTTAATAAGCATCGTTTGCTAGAAAGCTTCAGTTGGTCGCGATTTTTGGTAACGTGAGAGAATATCGCGTATAATTACATTTATAAATCAAAAAATGGTCCATCCGCGTCGATTTACTTAGGTCGAGGTGACGATGCTTTCATACTCTTTGGAGATGTGAAAAATTTCTAGTAAATCTCTGCTTGAGTACTATACATATTTTAACGAGATATTTTTACTAACGTCGCGGCATTTCTATATATACATGTCTTCGTTACAAGTTAAAAAGAATCTTTCCCTCTTCCTTTCAATTTTCCTCCATTGTTATATCATCATTTATTTTACAATGCACATCTAATGTACGCGAAAGGAACAAACAAATCAATTTATTGAAATAGAATATATCAGCGTTGCATATATGTACATATATCTCGTGAAATCCAGCGCTGCATCTTCGGGCATGATTTGGGTAAATGCTACCAAATGCGACCGCATGCCAGCCGAGAGGGGCCAAACGGAAGAGGAGAGGTGGAGAGGTAAAAGCCGAGAGTGCTAATTGCGCCTGGTTTTGTTTCGCGAATTTGCATTCGTGTACCGTGCGTTTAACGACGCGGTCACTGCGGCCACCCGTTTCATGCAACAACGGACGACGCGAGTGTAAAAAGAATCATCAGCAGTGCTGCCGCAGTCCTGTGGTTCTTTAGCTTGTTGATTAGATAACGCGTCGTAGTAATATATATTAACAAGAGTAAGTGATTGAGTATAGTGAATATTAAGAGGAGAGCGACTGTATAAAGAACGGCATCACATTATAACGTGAATGCATTTGACTTGACGCCTTAGTTCAGGAGCCATCTTCTTCCGCAAAAAGCGCTGCTCCTCGTACTAGTAATTCGTTTAACCCAAATGCGATGATGATACCGCGTGTAAATCGAGCGATATTCGAATATAATACCTGCCGCGTAATCCAGCCGTGCATGAATATCGCGTGGGAAACTGGACCAGATAATGGAACAATTGATGGATATCGATAGATATCGATTATTGCCAGTTCGCATAGCGCTCGTAATGACGAACGATAGTCTCTCGTCTTTCGAATTTCAAGAACTGCCATTTCAGCACTTTTAGCTCCCACCTATGTTGAATATATTTTGATAATATAATTTATTAATCTAATTGCTACATATCGATTCAAACAGATTGGGACAGAACTAAATGAATAATTAAACGTTCGCAGCTTTGTCGCGTTAAAACACTTGTTCAAAAACACTTGTTCACAAACTTTTTAAGCGAACACAAGACGGTACTGTCAGACAATAGGTTTGTTAATTTACAAACAAAATAGATGACACATATTAATTATCGTGGCCATACAAGATGTTTCCAACTTGAAACGATCATGCTAATGTATCGTAGGTAAAAATTAGAGAGGAACGTCTTGTAAAAATACAAGAAATGCGTAAATGTAGCAACGATAGCTATTGTCATCCGCGTATCGTTGAAGAAAGGAAAAAAAGAATGATAGAAATGATAAGAGAACGAATAGTCGACAAGCAACGACGATATATTCTACATACGTTCGTATATCCCTTTGTTGTGAAATAGCATCGATGACAAGCACGAAGGTAAATTGACATAAGAGTAAAATAAGATCGATT